AGCGGGGGTCCGCCGCCGTCGAGCCCCCCCCCCCGCCCGTTGGACGGTCGGGCCGCCGGGATCGCTCGACACGCGCGCTGATGCAAGCGGGGGCGGCGCCGCCGAAAACGGTTGGGCTGCTGCCGCGACCGCCGAGGGGGGGGCTGCCACAGGGCCCACGTGGCCGGGGTGCGCTTCGACCCACACAGCCAAAAGATAAGGAGGAGGAGGACGAGGAGCCGGAGGAGGCGGGGGCAAAGGAGGAGGAGGAGGAGGAGGAGGAGGAGGAGGAGGAGGAGGCGGGGGCGGAGGAGGAGGAGGAGGAGGAGGCGGGGGCGGAGGAGGAGGAGGAGGAGAAGGAGGAGGAGGAGGAGGAGGAGGAGGAGGAGGGAGAAGGAGGAGGAGGAGGAGGAGGAGGAGGAGGAGGATCGAGGAGCGCGCTGGCGGAAAAAGAGGGGGCGAGAACAGGGCAGGCGGACAAGAGGCGAGGCGGGGGCAGAGAGCCCCGCTCCCTACCCTCCCGCAGGCGTCTCGCGGGGGGCGCGCCGAGGAGGGCGGCGTGCGAGGGCCGCCGTCGGCACGCCTGCCGGAACCTCTCGCCCCAGCAAGCCGCGACGGGGGAGGCGCGGCGGTGGCGACGCGCGCGCGGCAGCGGTGAAAGCACGCAGCGAAATACAAGAGAGTGGACGCCATAACATTATCGGCTCGAAGGAAACACTTGTGAATGTATACATATATATTCATTCATTCATTCATTCATCCATTCATTCATTCATTCATACATTCATACACACATATATACATATATATATATATATGTATATATGTATGTATGAATTATGGTCACGCCCCGGGCAAGATAAGACGCGGAAGGGAACTCTGGCCGGAACACCCCAATGAGATCGAGCTCCGGGCACTCAGAAACGTGATTGAATGAGTCGGCAGCCTGCAGGCCGCAGAGGGGTCACTCGAGCGTGGTGCTGCGGAAACGCCCAATCGTGCACCAAGCGTTGCGCCACGTTTTGATAAGAGAGGCGAGGACCGAATGGGGGAAACTGCAGAAGACCAGAAACACACGGTCGATATCAGTATTACACAAGCTGGGGCCATCTCTGGATCGACGGGCAAGCGCGGGCTTCGCGGATCGGAAAAGAAGTTCACGGAGCGCACTCTTTTTTTTTTCTTTCTTTTTTTCAGCAGGGGCGCGTAATTTCGGGGATGCTGGTCAGAAGCTCGAAGCTCTCTATCATGAGACGCGAGATGCTTCCACGCCACCACGGGTGCGAACGCCAGCTGATCACGCACTCATCGTCTCCCGAGAATTCCCCGGGCATCTGTAAGATGTCGTGGAAGGCAAGAGAGTAGCAGGCAGCGCGTTATCGGGCGGCGCGGCAGGTGCTCCCTGGGGTGCGGGCGTCGACAGGGAAGCCCAGTTGCGCCAGGGCCTGCACTGGCGAAGCTGCGATGGCATTGTTCGGGCTGGTCGCCGAGAGCTGCAATCCAGCGCGCTCCATTCGCAGACGGCGGGCAGAGGGCCCCCAACACTGGCCGATGAACGTGATCACAGAAAACGCGAGCATGTTGTTGTAGTGCGAGATCGTTTTGGCCAACCCTAGTTCGAGGCCGCGGATGATCTGGGCCCTCTGGGCGCATTTCCTCAACGCGGGCTCCCAGGGCTCAGCGGCGCTGTCAGGCCCCAGACGGATGCCCAAATAACGGCCGTGGGGGAGAGGCTGAGGGCCCAGCGCCCGGGGCCCACGCCCCGCAAGTGCTGCCGGAAAATTTGCCTCGGACAGGCCCGGCAGGACCGCGATCGTCGGATAGAAAGGCCTAGCCCCGACCCAGCCGGCCCCCACATCGTCGCGCTGGAAAAGACGGCTTCAACGATGTCCCCCAAGCTGCTCCCCACGTCGTCGGCGAAGGCCCCAAGGCTGTGAACGGGGCGAGGCAGCAGGAGGCAGATCTTCCGCAGCGCTGGGCCGACGACAAGCGCGAACGGCGAGCCGCTGACAGGACAGCCTTGTTTAATGCCACGGGAGAAGCCTATGTTCGGGTGCATGCCGCGATGCGATATAGAGATTCGCGCATTCGAATGCAAGCGCTGGATGGCGCGGGCGAAATAGCCGGGCGCTCCCATGGCACGCAGCGTGGAAACCATTGCGTCGTGAAACAAGCTCGGGAACGCAGCGCGCACTTCGAACATCGCGATGTCGCTCTTGGAGACAAGCCGCTGAACATACCAGTGCATAGCACGATGCTCTAGCTTTAGGACGTTCTCGTTCATGTTCCGCCCTCCGACAAATCCCAGCTGTTCATTGGTGCGCGTAGCTGCATGCGGCTGCCAGCGGGCGGTTCAGGGCAAGAAAGATGAGCTTATCCGAGGTGCGCAGCATGGTGAGCGGCCTTGTGGCCGACGGAGCGCGCGCGCGCAAGGTCGAATCTGGCTCCTCGCCGCCCTCGGCAAGGGAACTGTTTGGGTCGAAATTCAACTCGGGATGGCACTCGCTATGGGTCAAGAATATGCTCGTACAGGTAGCGCAGTGCACGTCCTCCGCCCACCTCCGGATGATTCCGCCCAGAGTGGGGAACGCCGTCGGGCCCCAGGGCGCTGTCACGAGGTCTCCTGATCATAGATATGAGCTCCGCCTCCTCCAACCTCCATGCAACTGTGCTAGGTGCCCCCAGCGCGTGAGCGAGCGAGTCAGCAAGGGCGGCAGCCTGAACTGCAGCGGCGCCGTGAACGGATCCCAAATGCTGTGCCAGCTCGGGCGCGCCCGCCGCTGGGTCGAAAATGGGGGCGCCGAACGGGTCGGCAACGGCTTGCGGCGAGACCTGGGCGCCGCGGCCCTTCCCGGCAGATCCGCGGGTTGAGAGCTTGTTAACGGACGATTTCTTGTCAAATATCAGGGATCTCGGGGTCAAGGTGGACCCCCTCGATCGGATCATCGATCTGTAGACGCTCGAGATCAGCCAGAAACTGGTGGGCGCCCGCGAAGTTATAATGCACGCGCAGCTTCGCATCCAAAAAACAACAAGAATTTCGGGTTGGCCCTCGCAGCCCTGCGCAAGATGCCCGGGGCCTCGGAGCGCCCAGCTCGCATCGCAACAAGAGGCCAGGATGCATATTCGGGTAGTGAGCTGGCGCCCTTTTGCACGAGCTCGGCTTGGACAAGCATCGCTGCAACCTGAATGGCGTCGCGCGCTTCCTCCGCCCGATCAATCGAACGAGGCGTCTGGATGTCATGCTGGTCGTCGCAGACTGCCGCTCGCGAGGGGGCGTCGCGCGCGTCGCGGGCGCCTGCGCAGCGCGGGGTTCCCGCGCCAGGCTTGTCATCGCCCGCTAGAACATGGCCATCTTCCCCGATGAAAGCGTTTTGCGCGGCGGTCTTCGCGACAGACTGGCTGGGCGTGGAAATTTCCTGCAGCGAGATGCAGTTGACAGTGTGGCTGATGGTCTCGTGGGCGAAGCCGAGCTTCTTCAGCGCCCCGGCGTTCGGGGCGACATCGAGCTGCATGGAGTCTGCGCCCTAGACCAAGGAGAGCTTCTCGGTGCCATCGTTAGCGATCAGCCATGAGGTGCCTCGATGCCTCTGTGGCCCCAACGTGTAATGCTGTCTCCAGTTGTTGGTGGATTTGGCTGCGTCAGCGGCCTTGGACCAGAGGGCGCCGAGGATGCGATTGACCTTGCGAAAAGCGGGCGGCGCATCCATGCGCATCTTCAACTGGCAATCTGTGTTGGTGCGAAGGTCGTGCCGTGCCACTCCGACCGTGCGAGCGCGCGCTGGGAAGTCCTTGGCGCATGCTAGCGACCCGAACGTGATGCTGTACGCGGTCTGGAAGTTGTGGGACTTGGGAATGGCTGTGGCCCAAATATGAAAATGCTGGCAAAGTAGTCGAGTCGCATGCGCGGTCATGACCTTGGCGAGCAGAGGGAGAGGCAAGCCAACGATCCATCTCTTGCATGTGCCACTCGCCTTCGCCACTTCGTAACATGCGACCGGAGCACTCGACCTGCTGGTAGGAGAGCGGGAAGGGATGGCAGAGAACTCTGATTGCATCTGGGCATTCTCCTCCCGCGTTGCCTTCAGCAGTCTTTCGGCCGCCTCGGAAAGCACTGAGGCTGCAGCATTTGTTGGACTTGTCCTCGAGGGACTTCATGCGAGAGATCAACGCGTCAGTCTTGACCTCATGCTCGTTGGTGGTGCGCTTGACCTCAGCGACGTCGGACTTCGTGGCCATGTTCGAACGGATGTCACCGAGCATCTCGCCGAGCCAGTCGGAGTCCTCAGTGCGCGCGCGCTCCCTTCCTTGGGGGGCCTGGGTCATCAGAGTGCTGGCTGCCAAACATGGAGGTATCGTCAGGTCATCACGGCGCGAGGAGAGATTCGCTTCGTGGCAAAATGCGTAGGAAGCGGTCGCACTGAATGAAGTGCCAGCAGGGCGGACCTTCGGCAATCCCTGGGGTTGGCACGAGCGGCCAGAAACCTGCAAGGCACAAGGCCTTGACCCAAACCTCACGGCCGCGACCATGCTCAAGCCGCCGAGGCCTCGCGGTTTGAACTTGAGCCACAACTGCTTGAGCCAAACTTGTTATGGTAGAGGCGGCGGAGGAGGAGGAACAGGGGGAGGAGGAGGAGGAGGAGGAGGAGGACGAGGAGGAGGAGGCGGAGGAGGAGGATGAGGAGGAGGGGGAGGTCGAGCAGGAGGTGAAGGAGGAGGAAAAGGCGGATGAGGAGCGGGTCTCCTGGTGCGCCTTCTGGCCTGCGTGCGCAGGCTTACGGCCTGCGGCCCCGCCCCGCTCCGAAAAAGGACGCGATGTCGCCATCTGTTCCGCCCTCCGCAGGAGGATGAGGGCGACGATGGATCGGGCGATGGCCGCAGCCCGATGGACCACGGAGGCGGGGGATCGGGAGATGCTTCCCCCGTTTCGCCTCCTCGTCGCCGTAGGAGGGGCGGCGCCGCTGCCGAGGGCACGTCTCTCGAGGCACAGCCGCCGCCGACTCCCCCGCGCGCTCCGGGGC